CCCAGTGAATTTTATTTTTGGTTTAAAAAACTCTGTGGTTGAAAAATGTTTTCTATAAAAACTTAATAAAAATTTTCATTTCGGTTCAACACATTTTCAAAGAGGGTTTAAATTTTTAAAATACCAATTCACCCCCCCTCTTGGTAGCCTTGGAACATTAACTTAGGTCTAACAACCTATTTACTAGACTCAACACTTATGATTTGAGGTATACCTCAAAAACTAGATCTAGGTTAGGTAAATATTCTAAGGAAGTGCATTATGGACTAACATCTTACATAGAATAGAAGGCTAACTAAACCACCTAGTCAATTTAAAGCCATTTTGTCTAGTATAATGAAAAATCAATTATTTATTATTTTATTTTAAAATTTGTGTCGATCTAGAGAAAGTCCTATGTGATCCTGCACTTATAAGTGGTAAGTATGCCTCCAAAGAAATGAAATTAAATTTTATTGATTTTAATTTATTTTTAATAATATGTATGTTAATTCAATGTAAAACTAAGATGTTCAATATTTTAAAAAAGGCATAAAAATATGTTTTATCCTTGGGTTTAAAACTTCCATGAGATAGAACTACACTATCATAGGTCAGGTTGTTAGCTACTACTCGCATGTAGGGAGATGCTTAGTATGGAGAAAACGAACGATATATATGCATGAGACCCCAGAAATGCTCTAACTTCTTAAAAAAGGATTATATTGCATTGTTATCCTAAAATTTTATTTGCTAATGAATAAATTAATTTTTTTTTCTCAAGAGCCTAATGAGATATAGGCACAGGTGCACATGAGAAAAAAATCTAAAAAAATAAGCAATTTCTTAGCACTGATAATTTAAAAAATATCAACAAGAATATAACATATCAAAATTTCATTTGAAAAGTACTGCTTAATTTCAAACCCAAGCCTGTTGAAAATAAATATGGCCAGGCTGCACCAACACTAATCCTTATTATATTCATATGAATTGAATTAAGTCTTTTAAAATAAGACATCTTCATTTCAGTCATCATTTTTTCTTCTTTAGCTTGGTTCTATTCCTCAGGCTTTTTGTTCATTCAATTTGTGTTTTAAATGGAAATAATTTTCAATTGAAACATGTTTCTTTCCTTTTTGGATCTCCAAATTATTGAGAAAATGCCTTATTTTTAAACTTTTCATAACTTTTTTTGCAAAGATATATTTTAAAAACAAAACGACTTAAATTTCTATGCATGTTAGTGAAACAATTCATATATGAAAATAATAAGCATTAAAACATCACAATATTAATTTGTTCATCTTTTAGCAACCTATAGCTTGGCCTTACATTTAATGATTATGAGGCTAAATAGCAAAAGGAACCTCTAAAAAATTTATTATCTTTAAATTATGATAAATTTTATCCCTTTTTGATAGACCTATATAAGTATGACCAATAGTAGAAAATTTGATTAGAAATAAACATCCTGATCGCTACTGACCTAGGAAAATCTAAAAGCCAATCACATATCATGTTGTAAATATTAAAAAAAGGACATCACAACATAAGCATTATAATTCACATCAAACCATAACAACAAGTATTCATCAATATACACATCATTTACACATCACAAAAAATACATGAAAGAATAATGGCCTAGACTAAAACAAAAGTTGTTTGTCCTTAAATGTAATCTACACTGTGTATAAAAGGCTGAGTGGTTTGGATATGTCCTAGGTTTATTATTGTATGAAGTTTATTAATGGATTGAGTTTGGTTTGTTGAAATCTAAGGAAATCTTAATTTAAGCATAAATTTTATTTTATTTAGATTTATTTTAAGTTTTATTTTGGTTTTTAAAGTTGATTAATGAATGGTTATTTAAGGCCTTTTGATTAGTCATTAAATCTTTAAATCCAACACACTTTTCCCTTCCTAAAAGGAGTCAAGCAAAGTTTATGAAAGCTTTAGTTACTAGGTATTTTGTTACTAAATTTTATGGATATTTAAGTTGAATAATAATTGCCTTTTCTAAACTAGGGCTACGAGGTTTATTTCATCCTCCTGGGATCTAAATTCATGGTCTCATAAGCCCGGGCTATCTACCCATTACCTTTTCATTTTAGTTTGATTGTTAGTTGATATATATCAATTAGTTTAATTTATTGATTACTGATTTATAATATTTATGATTTAACACTTTGATTTCGTCAACTCTTTTGTTGCGCTATCACAACATGCATAAGAACCAATACCTCCTTATGACACGTAGGCATGCAGCAAGAGGTAGTCCAACCTAAAAACTTCATTGATAGAGTATGAAGTGTCACTATTGATTATCTAATTTAATTCATTAAGTTGATGATTTACTAAAATTTTAAATATCTATTAAATTTTCAAATTTATTTAATTATTTAAATGATTAATATTTGGCCAAATTTTTACTTTTTATTTTACTTTGAATGCTAGACATTTCTTATTTTTTTTATAAATATTAAACCCAATTATGAGTTCAAAGCCATAGAGTTTGTGTCATTTATTTTTTTTTTAAATAGTTAAAAATTTAATAAATTTAGCTTAAATAAATGAATGAATTAAATAAAATAATTAAAGATATTTTGATTAATGGTCTAAATTAATTTCAAATTCCTTAAAGTCTCCCCCAAATGTCAGAAATGACTCTTAAAAATGATTATAGTGTTTGGAATAAGTTAGGATTTTGAAATATTTTACTTTATTTTATTTTATTAATTTAATATTTTTCTTAATTATAAAATTACTTTTTATTTTTAGGGTTTATGATGGGGCTTAATTTTTTCTTGTTAAGCTCTTAACTCTGAACAGTATGACACTAAATTTATATTTTTAACAATTTATTTGAATTAATTGTAATATAATGAAAATTTTAGTTCAATTATGCGTGTTCATTTTGGGTCGCTAATTAAGAGGCCAAATGAACTCCAATTTTAGTGAAATTTGAAACATAGGTCCACCTGAACATTTACTTAAAATATACTAAAATTCAAGCCTTAGAAGCCTTCAATTTCTTCCTAAGAAGTTAGATTTCATAATTGGTCCCCAAAAGTAAATACAACGATACTTTTGGGGATTTAATTAGGCCAATCTAGTTATTGAATGGGGTAGAAATCAAGGTCCTTTAAACCTTACCCTAATATGAATACGTCATAGAGAAATGAAATTATAATTCTAACCGCATTTCAAATTTTTAGTTTTTAAAGTTTTAAATCAAATTTTAACCTAAAATTTGGAAATTATTTCACCAAACTTGTATTACTACCCAAGCTCAACAAAATTAGAGTAGGTTGAACAGAAGCCCTGATATCGCCTATAAAAAAATTATCTTAATTAGATCACTAGTTCGGGGGTAATTAAGGAAAATTAGAAAAAAAATTAAACTTTAATTACTCCCTCTATAAGTGATTAAATATTTTTTGTCCTTTTAAAAATAAAATTGGGCTCAATCTTGTTTTAATGAGCACAAGAACTCTAACCTTTGGTAAGAAATGAAATTATGGCGAATTTTCAAAGTTTTAGGGAATTTTTGGATTTATTTTTAAGCAAAAATTCAGATTAAACTATCGAAGTAAAACATCAGCAGCAAATGCATGGTGGTACAATCATTGGAAGTGGTACTGTATGATCGTTTGATAGTACTATCCATCAAAGAAGAAATTGGCTAAATGAGTGGAAGAAGTTGAATATCTTCTTGCACAATCTATGATACTTTAGGAGCAGCTTAAGCTCATCCAGAAGAAAAGTGGGGGATGCATTTTGAAGCTTTGAAAAGAACTTTTTGAAAGCTATTTAGCATTGAATGTAAAAGCAAGGGCTTTCCATTTACTGCTATCCAGTGAAACTCAAAGATTGTGCATGAGTTTGTTCTCTTCCTTGAAGCTCAAGGAACTACATCTTAAAAGTCTTGGAGGCTAGAGAAGCTCTGGAATAAGTCAAATATGATCGAAGATAAACAATGAGCTTTTTCGACAGTCATGTAACTAATGGTAATAATTTCACAAAATTAGTGTGAAACCAAGTTTTTCTTCAGAAAATGATCACCATGGGGAATCAAGATTTCGTTTGGAACGGCTATCTCATTGTTTGTTAAAGCAATTTTATAAAAATTGTTTTAAGAAACAGTAAGAAAGCTGTTCCAAACAAAACCTAAATTAGAATAAATAGGCTAACAAATATTAAAAACCATGTTACTTGCCAAAGTTATGGAGCATCTTATTACAATCACTAAAAATTGGAAAACTCAATTTGTTTCTAAACTGGATTCATGGTTGAAGGCATTAGTGTTTTCAAAGAAAGCATAATGGAGGGCTCTGACGCATTCTTTGGCTTCGCTGTCGTGAACTACAATGGAAATGTTCACCTTAGACGCACCTTGAGAAATCATCTGAGCGTTGACTCCCTTTCTTCGTAGAACATTGAACGCCTTTTCTAGAACCAATGATGAACGGTGTAAATTTCCAATAAGGGAGATTATAGATCTATTCTGGAGAAGTTTAACCACTGCAATCTTTTCAAGCTCTTCAACTATATGATCAAGCTCCTGTTGAATTAGTTCTCTGCTACACAGTTTAGATGGATCTAATGTCAAAGAGATGCTCGCTTCACTGGTAGCGACGCAATCAACAGAAATGTGCCAATCCTGAAATATAGAGAAGACCTTTGCTAAGAAACCATATTTGCCAAGCATTTGAGTGCTTGCAATATCTAGAATGGTAATGCTTGACTTCAAAGCAATGCTTGTTAAAACAGCCTTACTCATATCTCTTTCTTTGGTGATGAGGGTACCAGGAGAGTGTGGATTGTATGAATTTCTGATTCGGACTGGTATAGCACTTTCTCTAGCAGGTCGAATGGATTGGGGATGCAAAACCTGAGCTCCAAAATATGCTAGTTCAGCAGCCTCTTCAAACGTTAAATACGGCACAAGCTCTGCTTGAGGATGAATATTTGGATCACATGTCAAAACACCGTCAACATCTTTCCAAACCTGAATTTCTTTTAAGCCAAGTGCTTTACCAATAGTAGTGGCCGTCAGGTCACTACCACCCCTTCCTAATGTAGTCACTGCAGAGGATTTGCAGCTCTTTTCAAGAAAACCAGTAATAATAGGGATTGCGTGACTACTTGACCAATCTTCACGCAATCTCTTTGCAATAGTTGGATAAGTTTCTTCCAAGATGTCTGCTTTTGTGAAATCGTCTGTAGTCATAAAACCGATATCAAATGCATCATACTGCCTTGCCTTAGTACCGATTTTATTTAAATATTCTGCAAAAATTCTTGTGGACATGCACTCTCCAAACGAAACTAAATAGTCTCTTGTACGAACTGTAAACTCTTTCATCACAGCAATACCTTTCAGAAGTTGCTCTAGTTCTTCCAATAAACCTGATATGACTGCCTTATCTATTCCCAATTCATTCATTGTCTTTAGATGTAAATCTTTTATAAACCTAAGCTCATCGATTCCAGATACATTAGACACACCACAGCTCGCTGCCTTCTCCCCTGCCTGCAAAAGTTTGTTAGTTGTTTTTCCCATAGCAGAGAGAACAATCACTGGCTTTTCATCCGGACAACTAAGAATGAGATTTGCAACCTCCCTCATCCTCTCAGCGGTTGCTACTGAAGAACCACCAAATTCCATCACAATGCTCAACTGTTCAGCACTGCAATCGGCATTTTGCCACTCTATTACATCTTTTTCCACGACTGTAGAAGCGACTCTCTGGAAGCAAATTCTCAAATTTCTTCCCCTTAAGGATTGAAACAGTCCCCTCTTTTTAGAGACCCCGACAACATGCTTAAATCCAAGCACGTACTTCTTCTTCAATAACGAACCAATCGATGTCTGACAATCCTTTCCAAATCCTGTGACACGAGCTTGAACCCCCATCTGAAATAAGATCGCCATGCGAAAACACAAGGGCTCTTCCTAGCCGCAGATCCAATACTATTACCATTCGAAGAAGTAGAATGCAGAATTTTATCCGTGATGTACTTCTAAAGATCATTGAGGCTAATCCGTTATCGGGTCGGGTCGCTAATCTGACAAGACATAAAGCGTTAATAATAAATTAAAAAAACGCCTAACAGATGTCGCATTTCCATTGGCGACCGAACGGAGAGATGGCTTCGGTCACCTGACCCAATAATTTGCCGTAGCATTTCATCTCCCGCATCCACGTGAAGTCGGAGCTTCAATGGGACGCTGGGAGAAGGAGATACGACATTGGCGATCTTGTGACTAGGAAGATTCTAGGATTCATTTAAGCAGGCCACAAGGGTTTGTGTGGAGGGATATTTTAAATTTGGAAAATTTTGCCAAATTTGACCATGTTGACCGTCAACATTTGCCAAGCCTTTTATGTAGGGCTGCAAGCGAACCAAACGTTCAACGAGGTACTCGTTGTTCAGTTCGATTAAAGCTCGTTTGTGATCGTTTAATTAAGTAAACAAATAAATTTGAACAATATTTTAAATACTCGATTTTTAAATAAACAAACTTGAACACTAATGTGTTTGGCTCATTTATGTTCGAGAACAACATCATTTGAAGTTCGTGAACAAGCTCGATAGAAAGCTAGATAAAAGCTCGATTCGTGTTCGATTTTGAACTCATGAATAGGCTCGATACAAATAATTAAAATTTGATTATACAATTTATAATTATAAATTATTGCCTTTGTTACATAGACAATTGTTTTTATTATAAAATATGCTTGTTCATAGATATGTTCATGAACGTATTTGTTTGATAGTTAAAAAAAAAAAAAATTGTTACATATGTTCACGAACATGCTCGATGTAATCGTTTGTTAGGAAGCTCCATAAAGCTCGTTTGTTAAGTTAATGAACATCTAAAAGTTGAGCTCGTTTATAGCTCGTTCATGTTTGTTTATTTAAAACTCGATAAGCACTAAATGAACGAACATGAACTGAACATGAACCGAACATGAACACTCATTAATTTAAATGAATCAAACATGAACAAATAATAAAGCCCGAACAAACATGAACCAAACTTGAACAAGCTGATATTAAATGAACACAAATATGAACACTCACATACTCAGCTCGGCTTTGTTCGTTTGCAGCCCTACTTTTATGATGAGTTGTTGGGAGTATTCAGAGGTAGTTTTCATGAGTTTTTATTGATTTGGTTGCATGGACATGGAGTTTGGATTTGTGAAGTGTGTATGTGAGAGGTTCAACAAATTTAGGCAAGTTGACCAAGCCAACTCACCATGAATTGACTCACATATTATTTATGACCAATTAGAGATGAAATTGAGTGAGTTTGGAGCATCAAAAAGTTTGATTATTGAAGATAATGACTAGAAAAGTTCTAATTTGTAGCTGATCGTATATTTCTTTGATAGATCTTGTTGTATTATCACCTAAGGGGTCAACAGATGAAGTTGGGGACATCCAGTACAACCTGATTTGAACTATTCACAATGTATGAATAATTTTGTATTGTATAATTCACCCAAGGGCTTTTCGGATAAAGTTTAAGTTACCAAGTAAGATTTTGTTTAGACAATCAGGCAAAGTATCATTGATGTTCATGCTTGATTGATGATAGCTCTTATAATGGTGGAGGGTAGGCAAATATCTTACGGAGAAAATCAGTCAAATGTTTAGTGGTGGCTAGGAGTTTCTTTGGTATCAACCGTGTAGAGGAGGTTTACTATTGGCAGTCAAGTCTATGTTAGTTATGATAGTTATGATGGTTGAGGTTGGGGAAAAAATTTGTTTATTATGATCAAGAGAAGGTCTTGTGAGGGTCGTATAGAGGTTCGATGGAGATGGTCAGGCGGTGAAGATTTTGTGGTGGTCGTGCTTGGGTAAATTTCAAAGATTTTGTAAGCCTCATAGCTCTTTTCATTTTCCTTCATGTAAAGCGAGGGATTGTTATTAGATTTATAGTGTGCATGCTCAGTATATATGGAAAAGATTTTTAGTAACTTAGGAGTACTCCCTCGTATGACCCATATTGATTCACTTAATCATGTAGCAATTCATCATCTTTTATGTGTCTAAATGGTGTTCGAATTAAGTGATCTTGCACAAATTGGACATGTCTCATCAGGCCTCTCGATTCAACCATAAGTATGAAAATTTGGAGAAATTTGGCCATCTAATTAATAACTTGAAGCTTTTAAATATCATTCAAGCCTCTGATTTTGGGCTGATTTGAGCTTAGATTGGAGTTATTTTTGTGTCATTGGTTCATCTTCTTGTGATATTTAGTTTAAATATAATTTTTTTAACTCAACATTTAGATGGTTTTGATTTTAATTTTGGAAGTTTCTAATTCAAATACGCCCCATATTTTTTTACGTCAAAACTTTTGGAGCTCAAAAATTACAATTTCAGAAAAACTAAAAGGTGATATTTTATCCTATATGTTAATATGGATGTCCCCTCGATCTAGTGAACTAATAAACATATTCTTAATATCAATATTCCATGAAATTAAGACATCGATCAAAGCACAGAATATCAAAAAGAAAAATTTGAAAAAAAATTTAACATAAATTGAGAGAAAAATATCATGAAATTGTTTAATGATCATTGGTGATGATCAAAGAAGTGGCGATCAAGCCCGGTCATCTAACACATCTATTAATTCTCACCATAAAAGTAGGGAAAATTTATCTGGCAAGACTTCAATGATTATTGGCAATGATTACAGTAATTAAGATCAAAGCTCAACGCTCTAATGCAAGCTCTAGATATCCTCAATAAAAGGAGTAAAATACTACCCAGCTTGAGTTTAAAGATTGTTAACATTAATTAAGACCTAGTTTTTGTATGTTAGTCTATGTTTTCTGTAATATATTTGGGAAAAAATAAGTTAGTAGAATTTAGGGACCATTAGTATTGATCAAAGCCCAGTTTATTTTACACAAGTTGTCAAGAAGAATGCCATTAGTGGTTTTCAAGTGATAGCAACTCAATATAGGTGGTCATGCGATGTTCATATGTTATTGAATAGGCAATGGATTAATTGTAGTTTTCATGCTGTATTTTATCAAAGGTAGTAGGATTGCTTGCTAATGGGGGTGGATAGTCAGATCGAAGAAGTAATGCCACATACATTCCATGGAGATCATGCAACATGACAATGTTAGTGAAAGGTGTTGGGAGATTTGTTAAAGATAATAACATGGAAGCCTACTCATGATTTTAGTGAAGCAGATAATGGTGGAGGTGTTGCAACTCGAGCTTACGAGTTTATATTTTTGATGATAAGAAATATTGTAGCTCACATCCTATTGTTTAATTATATTTGTGTGTGTACTAATTTTTCTGGAATACTATCCACCATCCAATAAAGATTTAAGGCTCAAGATTGGGTAGAATAGGTCATGTTGTAAAAAAAAAAAAAAAAATGTTGTAACAATTTTTGTAATATTCAATGATGTATTTTAGATTTCATGAGTCAAGTCCTATAATGATGTATGCTTGCTTGGTGACCATGCACCCACACACTTAGGGGGAGTGAGATTGAGTCAAAATCAGAAGTTTAAGTTTTGAACTAATCATACTAGATGATTTATATCATCCAGGACAATCAACTCATTGCACTGATCGTACTAGATGATTTTGATTGTCTAGGATAATCCTTTATGATCTTGAAAAACCAGACACCAAAGATAATTTAGGCAATGATTTAAATATTCAAATTTTATTCTGATCATCCCGGATGATCTAAATCAACTTGGATGATCAATGTCAATCATGCCTAAATTGATCAAGTGATTAGGGGACTGATTATGGTTAAAATATTCAATCAGATTATCCTGGACGATCTATATATCATATTGGAAGATATTTGCCGACATATTTAATTTTCCTAAATAGTCCATGATGAAATACCATATTTTTTCCTCTCGTCATCCAGGATGTTCCATAATATCATACTCGATGATCTGTACAAATTTGAATTAATCGTCCAAGACTATCCTGATATTGTCTAGGACTATCAGTTCAAATTCTAGACAATGTACTAGTTGATCCTAAGATCATCCAAGATGATAGTTGGTGCTGAAATTGAGTTTTTAGAGTTTTCTAAAGGCCTCTTTTTAAGCACATCGTACGGGACCATCCTGCAATCGTCCTTGATGATCTTTGTTGCCAAGATTAATTTTTAGAGTTTTTCAAAGCCCTCTTTTTAAGCTTTCTCAAGGCACTTGGTAAGTGTCTTTGGTAGCCATTATTTCTTCGTTCTTTTAGAGAAAACTTAAAAAGAAAACTTAAAAGGGAGAGAGGAAAGGGTAGAGTTTGAGATGGAGAAGAACCTTGGAGGGGGTTTTAAGGGAGTGTGGAGGCGTTTGACACGGTTGCTCCAGCAAGCTTGCACCTTAGTGCCATCAAATTTAAGGTTTGTCTTCAGGAAAGTTTTTGGAAAAATAAGATCTATTTGGTATCAAAGAACCTGGCTACTCCGCCATATCGGGTAAGGTGGAAGTGATTTTGTAAGGTTTCTACGCCAAGTTGTGGGGGTTAAAGGAGAGTCACTAAATGTTTAGTTCAATACTCGAAGGGTGCCTCCGAGGAGTGGATGTAGGTTAGGTTGGACCAAACCACTATAAATATGATGTGCTTTTTGATTATCTTATGCATTTTATGTTTTACTACTATTAAATGCTTGGGTGAAATCTCTGATTAATCTTTTAATTATTTATTTAATTTTTTTCTGCTCCAATATATAAAAAGATTTTTCTTTTTGCTAAAGAAGTTTTCTAATATCCAATTCACCCCTTCCTCTTGGTTAGCCTCGGGACAAGTTCATAAGGGCTTAACAACCCGAACGAACTTTCAGGATATGCTTCAATCATTCATTAAATTTTTATAGATAGATTATTAAATTGTTGATTGATATATAAGATGTTGTAAGAAAACTATTATAGCTATTAAACCTATTCAATGTTATTTATGTTTGTATAGTTTAGTGACATTAACTTTTATGAAAGAGGTCAGGTGAAATCTACCAAGGATGGTTAACCTATTTG